CAGGAAATTCCTCTTAATGTTGAGCTGGAATCTCTTTTCCTGTAATTTGATGATGTGGGAGAAAAAATATATATAATTACCTGGCCATATTACTGAGCAGGATTTTTTTTCCTGGCCACATATTTCTGTGTGAATATTTAGGAGGGAAACTCAAAAAGTCAATAACTTTGAGTACTGACAAGCCCATTTCATAGCCAAATACCCCGATCTAGAGGGTTGTTAACTCACATTTTTCAGGTTCGTGGTAGTGAATCCTTCAGGTTGGACTTATTCACAAACTTAATAAAGGATTTAATCAGTATTGTTGCTATGCTCACAGAGAGATGGCCTGATCTTTTCTTTCACATTGCTTTCTTTTTAATTACAGTTGTCCCACCATATCCATGAAATATCTTTTTATCCATGGATTCAGCCATCCACAGCTTGAAAATATTTTTAAATAATATAAATTCCAAAAAGCAAACCTTGATTTTGCCATTTTATATAAGGGACACCATTTTACTACACCATTTTATATAATGGGACTTGGGCATCCATGGATTTTGGTATCCACAGGAAGTCCTGGAACCAAACTCCAGCAAATACCAAGGTCCCACTGTATTTGTTTTAAAGGTGTTGTGGTCACTATCTGGTTTGGCCCTTATTTTTAACAAAGAATAAAGAGTTACCACAAAAGAGCACATACAAAAAGCAACTGCTTTTCCTGGACAAAGATAATTTATCCACAATAGTTGATGCACTGGTAACATCCTGGCAAGATTACTACAACATATCGGTACTCTGTGCTCAAGAAACCCCCATGATAGGGTTACCTTAGGGTCACGATAAGTTGGCAATGACTTGAAGGCATAGAACAGCAACAAACTTTGTTAAAGTGACTGAACCTTTTGACTCCCACTCATATTGATTCTATGGCAATTTTATAATACATTTCTTTAAGTTTCTGATACAGTTTGGAGGTCAGACCCTTAAACGGACACCTTGTGCATGTGCAAAGCTCATCAAAATAAGTTAACAATGGTGGTCCTTGGCAACATGTACCTCCTGGATCCAAAGAGGTCCATAAAGTCACATTAGAGTAATAGTGAAATGTGTCCTTTCCAATTAAACATTATTTTGGTCAGTAAATAGAGAAAGGGTGGATTTATGGTATTTCTTACACTGTAGGAACACCACACAGCATGACTGAGGCAATTTCAAAAGTGTTTTAAAAATTCTTTCCTTTAGGTGATGCCTCATGGTTCTGTATCACAGCTCTCTGAAATGGTTTCCCTCATAGGGTAAATTGGGGTTTCTTTTCCTGTGGCTTCTAATTGCCATATTTAACAATTCACAACACATAGGATCTTAGATGCAAGGAGAAAATGGATGCTAAGTGAAATTGCTAAGTGAAAACTAGGCTTCCCCCAATTAGCCTAGTTTTCATCCAGTTTGAATCTATTTATTTATTTATTTATTGTTGAAAGGATTCCAACACCATTTAGGTTGTGGGGGGAAATGGATACAGAAAAATACATGACTTTATAACACTGGTCATGCAATACAGCTAAACAGTGTAATGTTGAGACAAGGTAGCAAGAAGGATTCTTCACATACATCCTCAATTCTTCCACTTTCAGGTACACCTTCAGGCTTTTTTCACTCTGTACTCACAAAACAGAATGTGTTTAATAACAGGATTTTC